ACCCCCTTTCCGCCGGCCGCCGCTCCCGTGGGCGCAGCGACGTTCCTCGAACTTGACGTGCTCGACGATGCAGCACTCAATTTCGTAGCTGACTCGGCGTCCACACTCTCAGTAGACGCTATATTTCCCGTCGTCCCCGGCGACCCTATCGTATACATACTCGTAATCGCCCCCTCCGTAACCTCCGCTGCACTCCCCATAATCGGCCTAGGCCCCCTGCGGCCCCGTCGACGTGTAATTAGTATAAGCTGACCGCCGTGCCCCCGCTACTCACATCCGTCAGCGCCGTATCCCACGTCGTCGTCGGCGTGCCGGTACACAGTTCGTCGTCGGCGTGCCGGTACACAGTTCGTCGCTGGTGCTCGACGGCAGGACAGACGAGTAGCTATATTTCTGTGGCGGCAGCAGGCCGTGCACCTCCGCACACCGCCAGCACTCACAAGTATGAGTAGGAAGGCCGGGCCGCTAGGTTGTCGGGACAGGAGTGTTGTTGCTCACCCGTATCGATTTGGCGGGATTGAAAAGGGAAAGTGTCAAAAAGGTGTACTCGTTCATCTCGATACCGGTATTTGGGTATGCCTCCCTTGAATTGAAATAGAGTTCCCAGAGAGCCAGGGGAGTCGATGCTTACAACTATTTCATGCCTGGCCACCGACCACAAGCGATCATGAACCGGATTTGTACGAAAAGCTGCTTCTGCATAGTCCCCCTCCTGATCTTGATTTGGTGATGGATACGAATTCTAGATCTGGACTTACGCGTAAGCTCCTGCAGTGTCCATCCTTTAGTCCACCATCGGCAGTCTTTGAGCCCGTTGGGACAAACGACCGGCTGCTCTAGGTGTCCGTCCGCTATGAATATCTTCGAGGTAGGCGTAACAAATGGTAGAGTTTGGAGATTATCGGATAGAGCCTGTCTGCAGCAACCGATAATATTATTATAACCTTTCAGCAATACCTTGTTAGCATGGCTGTGTTTTCGCCGCCTTGTTAGACAAGATTCATTGGCCAGGACTTTATTATGTTATATCAGATGCTACGCTGATCTCAGGCCGTAGTCAACCTAAAGCTACGAATCATATCTCAAGGTTGCTACTATAGGTCGAAACTCTTAGTGAAATTGATATAAAGTTCGCAGTCGCAAGTAAGAATGAGAAGATTGGTGTCTTTGGTACGAAAAGGGGCTTCCTATGATTTTCGAGCATGTAAAGTAATAGGATGGCGGGTCGAATTTTAACCCTGGTAGAGATTATTTCCTGGGTAGCTACCTTTGTAGGTACCTAATTCTTACCTACCTAGGTAGGATATCAAGTTCGGCGTTAATTCTATGTAGGATATGTAGTGTAATGACCAGAATACATATCACCACGATGACAGAGGGGATCCAACAACAAGTAGAAAAACAAGCCCGATAATACAGAGTGGGGAAAATCTTTCAAATGATAATAACGAAATTACTAAAGTCCAACCAGTCCAACATTAGTAGGTAGCAAGGAGCTTGCCAAGGACTTCATCTATTTCTTCCAGTATTACCTTTGATATATTTCAGTATACTTTGAGGCTCAACTACGTAGCATGCAATAAAGAGATCAATCATAGCTCAGATTGCAAAAATGTTTCCCATAATATTAGGGAGGCTACAGTATAAAAACCGGTAATATTTGATGGGCTCGAGAAAGAATATGACTTGGAGTAGCCTGTGCATTACCCGCCTAAGTAACTCAGGATATTGGAAATATTCAGAGGTTCTCATATACGAAGCCTGTTGATTTTGGGTACCAGAGGAAGTTCTACTGTACAGGAAATTTACCCAGATATCATCATTAAAGATATTTACCTGTAAGAGCTATGGTGCTGCTGCAATGGGGGTTGGGGGATAGGGGCAAATGCCTGGCTAGGTACCTGGTAAGAGGTAGGTAGGTAAACATATAACATTTATCATTGTACCAGTACTGCGAGTAATTATGGAAATCTCACGGGGCAACAGCGGTACTATGATCTAAGGGAAATATCTAGGATGCCCAAGGTATGGAGGTATTGTAGCAGTGTTTATTAGGAGTACCTACCCAGGTAGGTAACGGGTGGTTGCTGATTTCCCATATTTCGTAGCTCTGATTTAAAATGCGAATTAAGGGCCAATGAGATTCGAGGATCAGAGATATCATGTGCCGGCGCTGCAAATTTTTTCTTTTTTTAACTATCACCAAGGTGACTGCCGCCCCAAAAAGTTGCACTTTCCTGAATCAACCCACCATTTACTGATCTGCCCACTGATTCTCTGCCACCGCCCTTGATTTTTGAATCAGCCATACTAATTTCCTGCCCACCGTCCTCAGCCCTCTGTCTATATAAGCGTGGCCTCCCCCCGTCCAAATCTTCAACTTTTTCCCTCAACATCTTTCCTCCTCCACCCAACTTACAACTCCTCCACCCAATTTACACTTCGACTTTACTTCAACATATTTACCTCCTACCCATACTTCCTTCATTATTCCCCTGCTATCTTCTTCCTTTCTTCTATTTCCACTCGACCATACTTCTTGCTTCTTGGGAGATTCCCCCCATCCCATTTTGCCGAGTGATCATCCTCTCATGGATTATCACTCCTTGGTTGCTAATCAACTTGGTAAGTCTCATCCCCATCTATCATCATAACCATCTTCACCCTCTCCATGCACGTCTACTACTTACCTATACCCAACACCATCTGCACATTACCCTAACAACACACTTCAACACACTTACATTCCCGCCACATTTTTGCTATCCTCCTCCAGCAACACAAACCATCAACATCAACCATCAACATCAACTTGTCCCCCACCACACTATATGACTTCCATCTTCCATCTTCCATCTTCCATCACCCCCAATGCACAGCTTCATCCCCAACACACGACTTACCATGCACTCTCACCACTGCATATACTAACACATCAAAGATTTTATAGTGAATCTTGGGGGTTTCAGTTGCCTTTTCGAACCTCCTATGCCCCTATGCCGAAAGCCTCGACCTATTATTCCGCGATCCTCGCCGACCCTTACCGACCCTCACCGAACCTCCACCGACCGACCCTCAACCGACCGACCCTCCACCGACACTCACCGACTCTTGCCGACCAAATATATATATATTTAGCCCCAGGCAAGGCATCGAACTGCCTCGCCGCGAGCAAGGCAGTAAACTGCTCCGCCCTTGGTATGGCGGAAAACTGCCTACCGAGATCTCTCTCGTCCCCGGAGGCGGACCGACACCCGAAGACCCCGAGAGGGGTCATAGGGCGCGAGCCGAGGCTTTGCCTCGTCTCCGCCTGGGTCCCTCGACTCCTACCGTAGATTTATCTGCGGGTGGAGGTGGAATACGCCCCGCGTGATAGATGCACACTTCTCGCAGGTTTCAACGCCATCGCACCCTGGGCCGCGCGAACTCCGCGTACTGACTCTGGCACCTGGCCGGAGACTTGTAAACATGTGGGAGAGCTAGTGACGCCCGGGTCTTTCACTAGCTTAGGCCCACTGGACGGGAGAGATAATCGAGACCGGCTTCAAATGTAGCCTGTGCCCTTCGGGGTACTAAAACATCAATTTTTTGTTCTTGAGGCTTGTATGGCGCCTGTTGCCTCTAGGACTTCTTGTCCTTGTCCTAGAGGTGCAAATCCACGGAGTTTCCTCTGGTATTACACTGCCTCCAGAGAAGCTTCCAACACCCCCTTTTTTTTCATTGCTATCTTCAACTAGGTACTTGAGGACGCAAAGAAGAAATGAGTCGTTACGACTATGCTGACTGACGATGCCTACGTGGTACAAAGGTTTCTAGGACTGAAGGTCTGTCATAGTACCTAGGTAGGCTATGATAATTTCAAGGACCTCTATCTAAATATGATCTAGAAGCTATCGTAGCGCCTCTTTGACAGCTCTGTCAAAACGAGTAGGTACTTACAAAGCTCAAGACGCCGATCCTATGATAGATGCACTCTTGAGCCAAGCTCGTGGTGTATATCCATATCCTCCTCCGAGACGGCGTCCAGATTGCCGATCTTGTTTCCAAGAACCACCATTAGAGTTGCCTATATTACTTTAGTGGCCAGCAGAGCATCCGACTTGGTTTCTACCCCGACGATTCGCTCATCGAAAACAATACCAACAACATGACGGAAATGGTCTTCCTGGAGACGCCCATCTTCTTTCCAGCCACCGGAATTTATTGCCACGAACCTGACACTCTGGGTCACTAGCGCTCTTCCAATGTGCAATGTAGGGTAGCGCAGTGAGCCATTCGCGTCAGCAAGGTCGATTTTACAGCCTTATGAAGTCCAGAACCAGGAATCTGGTCTACTCGAGCGGACAGAGGGGGTCCACGAAATCGTAGACCCGGTTATATACAGTACTACCCTATGAAGTATCTACCCTAGGTACCTAGTTTTATGCAATTCCCTGTCCATATCCATGATTAACTTATTGTTATTGCTGTCTGTCATCCTGTTCCTCTCATCTTCTTGATCTTCTCTTGCTTCCCCTATTTTCCGCATCCTCGCAATCTGGCAATTCTAGACTCCTTACCAGCCTGTAATGTGTGTACATAAATTACTTACATCCCCTATTTTACCTCCTACCTTACTGTTATATGTATTTAACGTGAAGCTGGAGGCTATATAAGCAATCATGCATTTGCACTCTGCTGTTTCTACCTTTCCTGAGGAACCCTCCTGAATATTCCCATATGCAGGTTTTAGGTCATAACAACATCTTGGAATACTATCCCGCCTCGTTATCATTAACATGAAATGCCTTGCTTCATGTTCACAACAAAAGCCAGTTTGAATTCTTTCAAGACTACCTATGTTACTTATGCGTTCGCAACCTCACGCTTCTGCTAGATGCAGCCGTTTAATGTCGAGAAAATGTTATAAGTTTGCACCATTACTCACAAACAACTCGTGGGTTAAATCGGTGTTATGGGAACGGAGTCCTTACGGACATCACAAGGGGGGAGTATTATAGTCCTCAGTGGCGCAATTGGCTAGCGCTTCTAAAGATTGCTATCTGGGTATTCAGTAGGTAGTCATCAGACGGTTGAAAGTTCGAGTCTTTCCCGAGGAGTATTCCGAGGTTTTTTTTTTTTCCTTTGTTTTTCTTTTTCAAACAAGAGATATACATAAGACAGAAAACCACACGAAAACAAAGAAAAAAAGCCGTAGGTCAGGAAGATAAAAGCAGAAAGGTATAGGGAAGAAAAAGAAGAAATAAAAAAAAAGGAAAAGGGTAAGAAAATACAAAAAAAACAAAAAAAAAGCTCACACCACAAGCTCAAACCCACACCGGTTGACCTGAACAGTTTGGCCTCCTGCCGCCCCTGTACGGATTCGAACCCACGATGCTTACGAAAAACCCCTCGGGGGGTTATTTCTGACCCTCAACTTCTACCATTGAGCCAAAGGCCAATTCTGACACGCCGGAAGACGCAGGGATACTGGATGGTCCTGCTGCTGGACCACTTAAGCGAATCTTCGACTGGGGGGGGGGGGGGGGGGGAAGGTGTTGAGCAGAAACCCAGCGACTACGTGGGGGGTAACACACCCCCAAAAGCGT